TGCCAGCATAAATGTGGACATCTGTGAGAAGACACAGAACAGAGCCGGGAGTCAAAGTCTGAGATGAGGAGAAGGACCTGGAAGAAAGCTTAAAGGCAGCAAAACAGGAAAGAGAGAAGACTTGGATGCAATATTGGAAGATACTTATATATTTCAGAAAGAAAAATGGTCTGAGGGGTAACATGCTCAGGAAAATGGAAGAAGAAAATGTAACTGTAATGACTTCCTCTGCAAAGTACCTTTATTTTTCTGAGATCCCAGGGTGGCAAGCAGCAAATTAGCAAATCCTCAAAATTAATTTGGAAAGCAACCACACTATCTGCTCTGAGAGAAAAGTTTAAACTGTCTAACAGAGTTTTTGTAAGGAAAAGGAAAATGTGCCAAAGGGTTCAGTGTTCTTAAAACCAAGTGATGAACCTTTGAAAATAGGATTTTATAATGGAAGAGCAGAGATCATTAACTATTGTAAGCACCTCTAAGAATGACACCTCTATAGTAAATTACATTCAAATTAATATAAAACTGTAAAGTTTCTCTGACAGCTTTGATTATGTAAGTTGATTTTAGTAGTTAAATGTTGACTTTCTATAATGCATTCTCCAAATATTATACTGAATGCTGCATCATATATAACAATTACCATGTCACAGTGCTATTTTGTGTAAATTAAATTATTGACAGCAATATAATTTTGTATTCACTTTATTATTTTGATCCATTTTTCTGTCAAAATATACAATGACTCTTCACTAGATTTAGAAACCAGAAAAACTCTTTCGATGGTGAAGTATTATTCTCCATACATTATTTTTCCTTAGCCTGTAATGAGATCAGGGAAGGAGGGGGAAGCAACATTTCATTCCTCCTCTGACACTGTGTGTGTTTTTAGACACGTTGTCAACTTTAAATTGTGTTTCAATAATTGTGCTTATCAAAAAGTCTGCAATGTCCACGGCAGGCCTGGTCAGGCTGTCCAAGCATGTGGCAGAGATGGTGTTTTTAGTGTGCACCAGCACAAGTGCTGTCCTCAATCACAGCATGGAATATGATGTGGTTGTGATCATAGGTTATTATTATAGGTTGGACTTGATCATCTCCCAGGTATTTTCCAACCTAGTTGATTCTTTGAGTCTGTGGTTCTATGATTATTCAGCCTAGCTTTAAGGAGATTCTATTGTACATCTCATGGTGAATACTTCCTGTTCTTTGATATCTCTTATGAATTAAGGTAAAAAACATCATCTGTGTGGAGCAGCTCTTTCTTCACACCTTCTTTTCCCATGTCCTTTTGGAGGCTGTGGGGTGGGTAGGGCAACAGTGATTATCCCTCCTTGGATGCCTGGAGAGTGCTTGCAGGCTGTGGTTTTAACTATTTGTAATGCAGTACTTAGGGTTTTCTCATTCACCTTTCTACAGATGAACAGCCTGTTGGCTCCTCACGACCTGCATGATACTGGAGTGCAGAAATTGGAGCACAAGCTGTGTCTTCCTGTTGGATCTCAAGCTCTTCTCCAGGCAAGTACTCTGACCCCCAATATGAAGGCAGTGCAGCTGGCTCACTTCACATAAAGCCCAAAACCTTAATCATAAAGACATGGGGAGGCACTGAGAGTGACTCTGAAACATGGTTTTGGGTGCTATCCTGTAAGACTAAAGAAATGGGCTGAGATGCTTTTAAACAGAAAAGAGGACTGAATCCAGCGCATCACATACTATGGGAAAGGACTCTAACTCCGGGTACAAAAATTCCCTCCATTCTAAGTGATGCTAGAAAGGCTCAGAAAATGCTCATTTTCTCAGCTTGTCCAAACCAGGGAGGTTGGGGTGCACATCTCAGCGGGGTTTAGTTATGATTTAGTTGCAACCAAGCCACAGTCACATCTATATCTGCTTGATAATAAAAATCAAAGACACATTGGCACTCCTGAGAGACTGGGAAGCAGTTTCTGGTCCTGGGCCAGTGAATGCAGACTTGTTTGTAGCTATACAGCTGTGGGCTAACTACCACAGTTAGCTGTGGGCTAATTACCTCTACCCAGGTCTGTGCCCTTAATGCCCTGCGAGCCTTAAACTAAAGATTATTTTTCAGATGCTCTTTGCAGTTTTTATACAGCTGCATGGAGCATGTGGAATCACGGGGACTGAGAGGAAAGCTGCAAGTTGTCAGCATAGCAGGGATGGGACAGGGGATGAGAGGTAATGGGAGAGAATTCTGAGTTCACCATTTTTAGCAGTTCTCTCTAAATATGCCAAAGCTCATTTGTCTGTTGTCCTCGGGTTGAGAACACATAAATAAAATATATGTCCTTTCTGTGGCAGCACAAAATCAAAAAAACTCATCTGATACCAATCAAATGCACTTAACCATTGCACGTGCACTTAATTCAGTATGAAATGTTATTACATTCTTAAGTCTACATGCACCAAATTCCCTTGTGCTCAGTTTTAAGGTACAGGAGCCTGTAGACACTTGTCAGTCTCTCCTGGGAATTGCTGCTAATGCTGAGAGTAGATGTTGCTTCTTAGCCTGGGTCATTCATTTTTCCCTTTGCTTTAGGCTGTTTGTTGTTGATCTACACTGCACATTCAAGATCTGCAGTGTGGTGGCAGTAGTAGTAGTGTAAACATGGAAAAGAATCTGCTTGAAGACTGATCTGCTTTTATATTAGTCTGATAGAAAAGTATTAGAGTTCTATCAGCCTTGCCCTCCTAAGATACTGGTATTGACTTATATTCTGTAGGCAGAAGATGAGCTTATTAACAATTATTGCAGACACAACTGTTGAAGTACCACGTCAGAATGACCATTTCTGTTAGCTAGAACATTTATAAAATGCCAGGAAATCGTCAATGGCTAGAAGAATTGCTTTTTTCTAGTTTCTTGTCTAACATTAATAGCCATCTCCTCTGAATGCTTAACTTGTAAGGAAAGATCTTGTCTTTGCACTTTTCTATATGTATTTTCATGTATCTTCCCCTGTATAAAGCTGTTTGATGCACTAACACATTACAGGGGTAGAGTTCTATTAGATCCAGCTTCACTTGGGAGTAGACAAATAGACCTGGGTCTTCCTATGGCACAAACTAAGCCATGATGCTGGTTTTCTCATTTGGCCTAATTTCTTGTTTGATCTGCCAGTGTGGGAGTTAATTGTATAAACACAGAAATATGGGAGACTGGGAGAAATACATTCTGTGCTGTCCTGTTAGGGTAGCTCTGTTTCTTGCTAGCTTTGTTAATGTGTTGCTTACAGCAATTTAAATGGCAGGGGCGATGAGGAACAGTTGGTGATGAGAAGGAGTTAATGTGAGAAGACATGAAGAAATCATATTGCATGATAGGAAATTGTTCTTCCCAACATATTTCTGTGCTAGCCCATATAAGTGGGACTCTGTAACAGTACCCTGTGACTACATCAGGAGGTGCAGTGGCATTGACTTCAGGCGTTAAACAAATATATAACCAGGTTCATCTAATTTTAGCATCTGAGATTTTAGATGGTGGCAGTCATTCCTCTTGATGTCTGAGAGCCAGACATTGTGGTGATGAGCTAGATCTCTGTTAGCACCTCAGGTTACTAACCTGGAGAGAGGAACTATGCACAAAAGGAGGATTTAAAGCTACAACAGAGCAAACAAGAACTAACACCTGATTAAGTTATCCTGAGAGTTGGGAAAAATTAACCTGCTGGGCAGGTAATCCCTAATGATACTGTTTTGATTTTACTAGCCTGTCTTCTCAATGTATCCTCTATTTATTCAAAGAAAATCATCTGCTCCTCTCAGTTATTTCAAAGTAAAGTCACAAGAATAGCTTGTTCCCACTCTATTCCAAATATAGATGTTGGCAGCAATTGCTTAGATAAGGGGGAAGGAAAGGAACTACCAAGGAAGAGGAAAGACAGGAGGAGGAAGAGGGAAAAAGAGAGCTGAAAAGGTTGGACAAAGGAGTAGAGAGAGAGACTTGAATGAGAAGGGAGGTGAAAAAAACAAGGACAGTACATCACAGCAGAGAAAACAAATCAAAGATAGCAACAAACTCCTGCGAAACAGGTGGAAGCAACCCAAATATAGGATGAAAAGGACCATGCCTGCTCTCAGGAGAACCTGGAGTTTTAGCCTTGAAAAGTAACCAAACTGTAAATAAAATCATGTCCAATTTTTTTTTGTTCACTCAGATTGTAGGGGTTACATGATCAGAAAACTCAAGCTAACTTATGCCACTTAAAAATCTGGCCCTAGAAATTTTACAACAAAACATGTTGCTTATTTTAATCTCTTGGGGGGGTGTGGAGGGGGGTGGGTGTTTGTTTGTTTATTTAATTCTCTGCTGCAATAAAATTTGCTGTCTGTTCTGACAGACAGCCATCCATTGGGTAACTTTGGTGAAAATGAATCTGAATCCCCTTGCCCTAAAGAAGTCACAGTCAGGATGGTCTTCTGGTGAAACTGGAGCATGTAGACATACCCTCAGGAGCAGAAAATAAACGCTGATAAAAACTAAGGAAAAACCAGAACCACATACAAACTGAGTTACCCAGAGAAAGGAGCTGAGTGTTTTCAAAGCTGAAGGTAGACTTCTTTCAGAGCAAAACACAGAGAAATGAGACATAAATGGAAACAGTTTCTGAGAAGTGGCACATGGAGCAAATGTAAACAAGTGCTTGGAAATTTAGAAATCCTATAAGTGGATCCAGCTTCCTTGGAGGGATGGAAAATTTCTGGGAAACACCCCACAGAACTCTTCTCCATCTCTTCCCAAGAGAAGACTGCTTGGAAAATAGTGTTAGAGGTTTGCTTTCCCTCCTGGTTTGCTGGAGAGATGTTATATCTGACTTTACTAGTCACTTGAGGATAAATGCTATGCCCAGTTCTGAAGACACTGTTTCCTATAAACTGAATATGTCCAGAAACCTTTCTGACAGGCTTTCTAAGCACTCAAACACTAGGTAATGGGACTAAGAGAACTGAAAATGTGACTCTTGCTACACCTCTTTTATTTCAGTCCTTCAAGGAAGAAGGCCACTTGCATCATGAAGGCATGTGCTCTATTAGTGTCTCTGGACTGAAGGCCCAGACATGGGACAAGGCAGTACTTATACAAAACACAGGAGGCATGTTAGAGCAGGGTAAGTGAAACTAGTTTCAGAAGAAAGGACTGGAAAGTAAAGCCTTGCAGGCAGACTATCACTATTTAGAAACAAAATTGTCATTATTTTGACTCTTGTCTCATGAATGACATGTGTATCCCAGTAATTTTCACAGTTGAGAAGCAACTTTTTTTTCTTTTTTCTTGTCTTGTCTTTTCTTTTCTTTTTTTTTTTTTCTTTCTTTTCTTCTTTTCTTTGTCCCCCCAGCAAGCAGCATGCAGAGCTGATATTTTAGCCTTTCAGCAGGGATACCCCTCTGTGGCTTGCTCTCAACACTTCACTGCAGTACATGATCCCCCATCGACGCTGCTGGGGTTGTGGGGGTCAAAGGCTGTGGCTGGGATCTCTGACTCAACAGCGCTAGAGTCTCTCTACAGATAGCATGAGTGCGATGAAAACCTTTAGGGGTGCTGTTATACGGTGAAACACCAGCAGAACTCAGCCCAGCGCGTCGCTCTTTGCTCAGCTGCTGTGTCCTCGGCTGGCTCCCGGGAGCGCCTTTCCCCAGGAGAGGGCAGTGGAGCCCGCACACGCTCCCGCTCCCCTCCCGACAGCGGCGGGAGCATCCGCTCCCTCGGGTGTTCCGTGGGAAACTCATGGGGCGAGTGCAAGTGGGACTAAGGATTTTATATATATGCTAGAAACCGTGTACAGGAACATCCAGGAAATGTTCTGTGTGTTTAATAACGAGAATAAGTTTTGAGCAAACATGTTTGTTGCTTTTATTTGACTGGAAGTTTTCTCTGTCACACATACTTGTTCACAGCCACACAAACTTAAACCAGTAGTTTATTGATTCTGCATGGGTTTATTTAATTCCTATAGCTCGAATTAGAAAAAGTTATTGACATTTAAATAACCCTTCAGAATGCTGCTACTGCTATCCTAAGCCAAGGTCTCACAATAGTTATTTACTTATTTCAAATTTACAGGCACTCATCCTAAGACAACAAGCAGCCTTGGCTGAAAACCACAGAGTGGTTTCAAGGTACTGTAATTAAGGGCAGACTGGGATGCCTTCTCTGCTCCTTAACCATCCCCTTCCTCTAGCATGCCGGCAGTCAGCCAGATGTTTTCTTTAAGTTCATGTTTACAGCAGGTTTCCCTGGCTGGATCCCAGGTTTTGGTGACTGGCCAGTGCAGACTAAGAGCCTATATCAGGCCTCTGAGGGGCAGGCAGGGCAGACTGAAGGGAAGTGGCTTTTGCCAGCAGCCTGGGAATCCAGCAAACACCCCTGGCCAAAACAGAAGGTGAAGTAGTAAACAAGAGTTTCTTCCTGTAAGGACAAGATAAATCTTTCTAACCCCAGTGAGAAGGGGCAAATTTAGGAAACTCTGAAATCCAGCTTTGGAGAGAAGATTTTCTCTTTTATATGAAACATTAATAACCCACCAACCCCAACATGAATCTAGCCCAGACTTAGGACAGACATTCTTTGCTGTTGTCAGAGTAATTAATCTCCAATCTGTAAACAACTCCCTGTTCCCAAATGAGTTCCTACTCCCGAGGGCACCTGCTGAGCTGAGGGACCTTAACCCTCCTGAAAGGAGCAGGATGCAGAGTGGAAGCTGCAGGGTGTGTTTCCCATGCAGGCCTGTTAGCACAGGAGGTCGGGTGAGTTTTGCTGCAAAAGCATAGTAACCTCCTGGAGAGATGACTCAAATGTGTGATGCTAAGCTGGTTAAATGTGTTGCTAGCTCTACAGATGATAAGCTGCCTTTTCTTCCTTAGCCACTCTCAACTCAGGTATGGAGGCAAAGATGATTTTATTTCTACAACTCCTGTCTCAGGTATTGGTGGTAGAGAATGAATGCAGGAAAATAAACCCCCAGTGCAATGTCAGCTAGCAGCTTGTTAAAAGAGCAAATATAGTAAATCCAAAGCTTCCCAGTTTCAAAGAAGTTGGGAATAGGAGAGAAGTTCTGCCTTTCAGCCCTGAACCATCCTCAATCACTGCTATATCCACTAAGAGGTCGTGCATATTCGAGCTCTTGGTGTGATTGGGGATTTGGCAATTTGCACCAACAAGCTGTCTGTGATATGAAGCCACATGGTTTATAGGAACCACAGAAATTAGTAGGGTATTTCTGCATGTAAGGGCCATTGACATCAGAGTGAGTTGGACAGTCCAACCTTCAGAGTCTGCTGTAATCAGCCAAACAGGGATCAAAGGTACAAAGCACATGCAAAGCAATACAGCAAGGATACCTGAAAAGGACCCAGAAACATTTAAGTTTCATCTGTCAACATCTTCCTGAAACTGAACATTAAGTATGCTTTCATCTTGCCCCACACCAGATCCTGCTGCCATTGAGACAAAGCCACTATTGAAAGATGTCAAGTGATTTGATTGTCCCTAGAAAAGCTGGAAATCAGACACAATTTATTGCATTCTGAAGAAGCCTTTTAAAATTAACCAGCCGAGTCAACTACAATAGTATTCCATAGGTGAAGTTAAATTTTATTTGTGTCAGTCTTTCATTGAATCCTATTCCATAGTGGAAGAACATTAAATTAGCCAAGTTAGTTGAAAGCTAGAGTTGATTCATGGGGAGATTAAGGTGGGGTGTGAAACCTTGGTTCTCCTTTCTTCTGTGTGCATTATGATTTAGTGTCATCAGTGGGCATATGGTATTTTGAATTAATGCAAGATGATATAGAATACCCATAAGCCCTAAATCTGAGATATCTGCAATGTTTTGCAGTAGGAGCATACTGCACTAGAGTTACTGTTTCCCAAATTCATGTAAAGTAACTCACCCCACTGCACAACAGATTCCAATATTTTGTTCTTTCATAGTAGCGATTAGACCAATTATAGCTCAGCTGTAACGGAAAGGTACAATACAATTGCTCCTACTTCTCAGTCAAATTTCCCAGAACCTGTCTCTCTGTCACACTTTTAAATTTTACTTTTAAATTGAGATTTTTTTTTTACATGAAAATATCTAGAATCCCACTGAAAGCTTGCTTTCAACTAAATCTCATATGTCAAACTGTATTGGCTGTACATTAAGTGCTAGAGAGGACTGGTTACAAAAAAAAAACTATGTTAAAAACCACTGTTACATATTTACTAATTGCTGTGTATAGTTCCCTGATCTCTCATAAAGGCAAGCATCTAGCTTTATGTCTACTATTCCTTAGCAAATGCCCCTAAACCCTTTACTTTTCCAGGGATACTGCTGGACTCTGTGGTGCCTGGACAAGTAATGAACCTGGAGCATCACCAAAGGCCATGACCTGGAGGAACTGAAAGAGCCTTTCTCAGCTGGGGTGTGAAGTGTGGCATGGATAAATAGGGTCCTGAGAGACACTGTGACAGTGCTTGGGAGCCAAGGCAGAAGGTAAGTCCATACACCACAGGGATGCCTGAGCACACCTCTCTTCTATGGCACAGGCTGTAATGTATTAGACCTGTAAATATTGGTATCTGCAGTTAAAAATGAAAGTGAAGAGTTTTTAGCCTATGTATTCTCTGGCTTGTTGCTTTGGAACAGGAATGCACTGTCATAATATCTCTCATATGTTGCCATGTCTTGCTGCTGCTTGGATTGTCAATGGGTTGTTTTTTTCACTGCAGACTATTGAAAAGGGGCCTCGCACGCTACAGACCATATGTGAGAGTTGCTTTCCTAAATGCAGTAATAAACAGCCACGAGATGAAATATCCCCAAGTAATGAGATTAGTGACACGGGATACAGCTTTCAAAAATAATTACATCTGACACCCTCATCAGCAAGAAGATGTAGGGGCTGCAAGCTCTAAGCTTGGGAACAGCATATGAAAGATTGGCTTCTCCTGGGAAGGGAGGCACAAGGGAGGTTATTTTTAGTACTTTGGAGAAAAAAAAAAGCCAGAATTAAAGCACTCTTTGGTTTGATACCCTCGTTATGGAGGAGATCATGGAGAAATAAAGCAAAAGCGGCAGTGGATATGTCACTGAGGATGGAAACTGTGAGAGCAAGAGGTTGAGCAGAGCGGGAGCGGTAGGGTCAGAACGGAACGGGGTGGGGCGGCGGGGGGGGCACTCCTGTCCCGCCGCCACCCCTCCCCGTCCCGTCCTCGCTTGTGCCCGTCGATACAATAACAACCCAGCGACGGCGGAGCAGGCGGTTCCGTTTTCGCGACGGTATATATAGATCAGACACTTTCCAAAACAAGCAGCGCCGCCGAGTCGTTCTGTTCGGCGGCTCTTTCCACCCGTAATTCAAAAAAAAACAAAAAAAATTGTTTTAAATTACTTTTTCTTTGACAAAGGAGAAGCTCTATTCCGTGAATGCGGCTGTTTCCTGACCCGCCGCCGGTTTGCGGTTACAGGCTGCTGAGAAAGTGAGCAGGGTCTGGCAGGGCGGCCCCGGGACCTCCTCTGCTTTTCCGAACCTTTTAAAAATTTTCCGGAACAAGCCCTAAAAGGGCAGGCGGGGCGGGGCCGGATCCTCGCCTTTTTAGGACAAGGGCCCCGCCACCGGAATACCCCCCTGGGCGGCGCGGCGGGCGGCGGCGGGGGCCGAGCGGGGCCGGGGCGGGTCGGGGCCGCCCCCGCGGGGCGCGGAGGGTGCGCGGGGAGGGGGGGCCGGGGCGGGCGCGGGCCGGCGGGTCCCGCACGCGGGCGCCCACGTGACCGCCGGGCCCCGTTCCTCAGTCCTTATATGGGCAGTGACGTCCCGGGCATTCAGGGGGCCCCCATAAATAGTTACAGCCAGACTTGTCCTCCAGCGCGAGCTGCGGCGGGAGCGCGGCGCTCCCGGGGCACCGCGGGCACCGCACCGCCGCGACGGGGCGGCCGCCCGCCCGCACATGCCGCGCCGGCTCCCCGCAGTCCCCCCGCGCTGGTAGTGGGAGGCAGGGGGAAGCGCCCCCTCCTCTCCCTCTCCTCCCCGCCCCGAGCGCCCACCGCCGGCCGGGAGCGCCGCTCCCCCGGCCGCCCCGCTGCCCCCATGATGACCGCCAAGGCGGTAGACAAGATCCCGGTAACCCTCGGTGGGTTCGTGCACCAGCTTCCCGAGGGCATTTACCCCGCGGATGACATCTCCGCCGCGCTGCCAACTTCGGTCGCGATCTTCCCCAATGCCGACCTGGCAGGGCCGTTCGACCAGATGAGCGGTGTGGCAGGAGGTAAGCGGAGCCCTCGCAGGTGCGGGCCAGGCCGCCCGCGGAGAGCGGCGGGGCGGCGGAGACTCGGGGCGGCGGGCGGGGGTCGGACTGGGACGGGGCGCCGGGACCCTCTCCGGGCCTCTCCCGCCGCCCGGCCGGGTCCCCGCCGCCCCTTCGCGACAGCCCTACCTCCGCACCCAGCTCGGGGGGGAAAGTTGCAGTCGGCGCGGAGCCCCCCTGCATCCGGAGCGCAACATGTGCGCGCCGCAGCCCCGCGCTGGGCCGGGGCGGGCGGTGGCTGGGACCGGTGCCGGTCGTCCGGCGGGTGGCGGCGCGGAGGGCTGACCTGCTCCTTGCCCCCCCAGACGGCATGATCAACGTGGACATGGGCGACAAGCGGGCCCTGGACCTGCCCTACGGTGGCGGCTTCGCGCCCAATGCCCCGGCTTCTCGCAATCAGACCTTCACCTACATGGGCAAATTCTCCATCGACCCGCAGTACCCTGGCGCCGGTTGCTACCCCGAGGGCATAATCAACATCGTGAGCGCGGGGATCCTGCAGGGGGTCAGCACGCCCTCCTCCGCCGCCTCCTCCGCCGCCTCCTCCGCCTCCTCCGCCGCCTCCTCGGCCACCGCCGCCTCCGCCACCTCCCCCAACCCGCTGGCCGGGGCCCTCGGCTGCACCATGGCACAGGGCCAGCCAGCCGACCTGGAGCATCTCTACTCGCCTCCGCCGCCGCCCTACTCGGGCTGCGGTGACCTGTACCCGCAAGACCCCTCCTCGGCTTTCCTGCCCGCCGCCGGCGGCGGGGCACTGCCTTTTCCCCCGCCGCCCTCCTACCCGTCCCCGAAGGCGGCGGCGGCCGACGGCGGGCTCTTCACCATGATCCCCGAGTACGGCGGCTTCTTCCCGCCGCCTCAGTGCCAGCGGGAGCTCCACGCCGGCCCCGACCGCAAGCCCTTCCCATGCCCCCTCGACTCGCTCCGCGTCCCGCCGCCCCTCACGCCGCTTTCCACCATCCGCAACTTCACGATGGGGGCGCCCCCGGCGGGCGCCGCCCCCGGCAGCGCTCCCGGCAGCGGCGGGGGCGAGGGTGCGGGCGCCCGGCTGCCCGCCGGCGCCTACAGCCCGCACCACCTGCCGCTGCGGCCCATTCTGCGGCCCCGCAAGTACCCCAACCGGCCCAGCAAGACGCCGGTCCACGAGCGGCCTTACCCGTGCCCCGCCGAGGGCTGCGACCGCCGCTTCTCCCGCTCCGACGAGCTCACCCGGCACATCCGCATCCACACTGGCCACAAGCCCTTCCAGTGCCGTATCTGCATGCGGAACTTCAGCCGCAGCGACCACCTCACCACCCACATCCGCACGCACACCGGCGAGAAACCCTTCGCCTGCGACTTCTGTGGCAGAAAGTTCGCCCGCTCCGACGAAAGGAAGCGGCACACCAAGATTCACCTGCGCCAGAAGGAACGAAAAGGAGCCGCCGCCGCCGGCGGGTGCCCGCAACCCGGCGGCGGGAGCGGCACCGCCGCCCTGGCCCCCTGCGCGGCGCGGACGCGGACGCCCTGACGGCGCGGGACACGCAGGACCCAGCGCGGAGCCGTCGCCGAGCGCGGCGGGCGCGGAGCGGAGCGGGGCCCGGCGGGGCGCGACGAGCACCTGGCGGCGCCGCGGGGCTCCCCCGGGCCGGGGCGAGCCGGAGCGGGCCGGAGCGGCGGGTGTACATAGGGGCTGCGGCGGGAGGATGGATGCATGCAGTGCCGTCGTGGTGAGGTGTCCTTGGTGCCTTGTGTGGTGTAGAGCCCGGTCCCCTGTCTGCATGTGGGGGGTGCCTTACCGATCCGCTCCGACGACAGCGGCGACATCGAGACCGGAAAGTTTTTCCCTCCCTGGTTTTAGTATGGCTGTACATTTCTGCCTATTAATATTGGGATTTTTTTTTTTTTTTAGAGACTATATTTTTGTACGCACTGGTTTGGGGTTTTGGTTTTGTTTTTCTTTTTGGTGACTTAAAAGTGTTCCGTTTGTAGTAGGACTTGGGACAGGATGTAAATACTCGGGCTGGGACCGGCGCCCGTGGTCGGCCGGGACCCACTGCGCCGCAGGTAACACGAATAATGCACAACCACTAACGGGGGCTGGAAAGAGAGAGAGGGGGGGTATCTTTCTGGCCACTCTGTAAATAAATTTTTCGACAATAGGATAGGTGCTTACAAAGTTTATAAAAGACGACAAATAAATCTCTTAATTATGCTAAATTGACATCTTTATTTCCGTAGGTTCCCTGGCCTGACCCAGGGAGCGGTTGTCCCCCGCTTGTTCCCGATCCACACCGGGTCCCGGCGGCAGAGGGCTGCGGGGCAGCCTGGCCCGGGTCCGATGGGCGCACCGCACCGCCCCGCAAAGCCTCGGCGTGGAAAACCTGCAGCCTCGGCCCCAGCATACAAACACTCGCTTTTGGGCACGGGAATTTCCCTCGGAGACGAGAGACGGGATAATATTAACCAGGGAGCGGGGTGGGTTTTTTTTGACTCATTCTGTTTTGTTCCGCGGTTACAATCCGCCCCAGGCAACCTCCGCGAGTGGGCTCCGGAACAGTGAGTACCGCCGCCCCGACGGCCGCCGCTCGGGGGAAGCGGCTCCCGGTGGCGGAGCTGCGCGGGCGGCGCCGCGCCCGCGCTCGGGGGCTCCGCAGCGGCCCGGGGCGGCGGCGCTCACTCCCGCGGCACAGCCGGACTGTTTTTGCTGAATCCACATGGCCGCAATATCGTGCCTTTTTTTTTTTTTTTTTTTTTTTTTTTTTTCTTTGTAAACTTATTTTGGTTAATGTTTTTTTAAATGCTATCCCGGCCTCGGCCCACCCTCGGGTCCTGCCATCGGTGCAGGGCCGTAAGCGCCCCGCGAGGTTGCCCCTCTGCCACACAGATCCCTGTGCGGCCCGCACTGCAGAAGTGAGCTGTGCAGGACGGACACCACTAACGCCACAGACCAGCACAGCAGGGCGAAGGGGTTAAGCCCTTTCTCGGTGGTTCCCAGGTGTTAGGTCCCATAGCGCAAAGCCCCGGCAGCACCTGCCTCTTCTGTCTGATAGAAATCCCTGCTCCCCATCTTCTCGAACTCATGCCGCTTTTGGGGTAGCTGCTGTTCAGTGGGAGCTGAAGTGACATGTCTGGTTCTGAATCAAGACAGCTTCTAAAGTTGGGCATGGACCAGCCTGTGCAGGAGAAGCCGCACTCACTGCCCTGCCATCCACCTTAGCAGCGCAAGTAAACCTTGACACCCTGCTTTGCAGTTTTGCCACCTGATCCCACATGATCCTGGTCCCCAAGAGACTACAGCCTGCAGCTGAAGGGATGTCATAGAGAAACTGCAGCCTCCTCAACTGCTGGGCTTCTGCAGGTACCACCAAAGCTTTGGATAATCACAACTCGATCATAGCCAGAGCATCTTGAACAAATCGGTATCTCAGCTACCCAGACATGCAATTAAAGGCTCCCCCTGCACTCTCCAAACTACTTTCTTCAGCCATACTACAAAATTAAAACCCAAATCAAAATCAAAAATGATCTAAACACCACCAAAATTGTAGATGAGGTGAACTAAGGAAACTCCTAGTTAGCATCCAGCTACAAGAGCACCTCACATGGTACAGTATCAATGGTCCTACACTCCTGTCTGCACCTTACATTGAGAGCCAGCTTAAAAAAAAAAAAAAAACAGCAATAGTTTATGTGCCTGGATTTGCCTGCAGGATCTGGGCTAAGAATTCAGTGTAAGTGTTGCCTCCCAAGGAAAGGCTGGTGACACTGTTCAGACTGACAGGCAAAAGCAACCAGAGCTCTGTACCATACTTGGCTCAAGGTTGTCACACTTGTAAAGGAAAGTAATGACTGGTCACTGGTGAGATATCCTGTATTTATTCTACATTTCAGTAATAACAGTTATTTTTCTGTTGTGAAAACACAATAACCAAACTGCAGAGAGAAGGAATGACATTACAGATTTAAACCTTCTGCTTAGATATCCAGAACATGGGAAGTTTCAATTAGTGAGTAAGCAAGAAGTTACACAAAGAGACTTTTTAAAAAAATGCTAATCTCAGGTTTTCTTTGCTATTTTTCCAGCTTTAAATACTTTTGATATTAAAGGTTTTTTTTACCTTAAGTAAAAAAAAGGAAAAAAAAGGTTTTGCCATGGTTAACAACACTCTGCAGTCTGACCATGCTGTCCTCTTCAGAAAGATGCATTAAATACTGTCCCACAAAACATCTTGACTAGGTTTTACACGTGGAGGAAAAAAATTAAAAACTCAGCAGAAAGACCTAAGGGGAGGATAGAGCAGATAGGATAAAAAATGCTCACTGTCGCAGTTTGTTTTTCCAGTACAGCTGTTTGCACGCACCGTGCTATCTTCTTTGTGTACTTCTGAAAAAGGATAACTGTCTTCATTAGGCTTGGAGAGAGGTAGAAACGGGCTGTAACACAGGGAGGCATTGCCTTGTAATTAATGACTACATTCGATCAAGAATTGTTAAACATTAACTAATGCTAAGCTGCAGGGGAATTCCAAGAAAAACAGGTAAGCCAGCCGCAGAAATATCAGACACCTTTAAGTGCTCAAAGAATAAATGGAAATCACCTGAAATAATTTCTACCAATTTTTCCTTGCAAAAGAAGTAATGCATGCATGCATAATGCTGGCTGTATATTACATTCATTCTTTCGCAGGCCAGGAAAAAAAAAAAAGCAGCAATGCCGTATCAGAATCATTTAAAAATTCACACATACAAGCCACTGTACAGGAAAAACAAGTCTGCTTTTATAAATACACAGAAAAGTAAAGCCAGTTGTGAAATGATATCTGAAGCAGGCTGGTACATCACTTAGGAGGTTGCTAAGTTGTGTTTTTTTACTCAAATTCTCACATCACGGCTAAGATGGCCAAGGCTGCCCTGGCCTGGGTTTGTGGTACGAAGTGTGCGTTAGGATGAACAGGCACAAGACCAGCCCCTCCAGCACAGATGGGGCACTTCCCCTGTAGAAAAACTTTCTCCCATGTTAGAAAGATTGTATCCCCTGCTGTGGACAAACTGCATCTCCAGGGTGTTTCCATCATAGCAAGGCGAAATTCATGGTGTCTCTTCTACTCTACGTTTATTTAAAAGCCTTATGAAAAAGTAGTCTTTATAAATAGTATAAAGAGGGAAACTGCAAGGCTTCAAAAGCCCAAAGCGTTCACATATAAAAACACAGACCATGCTTTAAAGAGAAGACATCAGGTCAAATCTTATCAGTACCTAGGGTATGTGCTGCTGTATACTGAGGGTTTGCAAATACGCCGTGTTTCTAGAATAGCTTCCACAACAGTGGATAGTTGTTTTTTTCTTATGATGCCCAGTTTCTGCCACCTTCTGCCACTGCTGTGTTAGAGGTTCCAAGCAAGGTTAATCAGCAGCTGTCTCCTTCTTGCTGAAGGAAATATGCATAGATGCACTCAGTAATTCTCAGTTGCAATAGTGGGATCTTGTATATGACACTTTAAAGAACTGTTGAAAAGTAACTCTGAATCTGACAGTGTCCATTTGGAGCAGTAATTTCCTTAACTCCAGCCCTGGGGATTGATCACTGGCATTTACTGGAGAAGCATGTCCTAGCTCAGGAGTTGTTCTGGATTTGTTTTTTAACAGCAGGGTACAACAACTCTTCTTGAGAATCACTCTGGAGACAGTCCCCAACGGCTGTAGCCAGACCAACCCCCCTTCCCAAACTCAGTGGGTGAAGTTCCCTGGTCTCGTGCTGCCAGCTGGCTCTGACAGTGGGAGCCCCACTAGGAAAAGCCGGGGCGCCTGTGACAATTCTTATTGCATTTACTCTCACTTTGGAGCCTGAACCCCCCTCCCTGATGCGTGGCCCTAAGTATTTACACAGGATGCTGGAATATTTGCCCGACCCTTCAGCTGAGCGGCTTAATCACGCTGTTCCCGCACATCGGCCCCAAGGGCATAAACACGTTCTGGCGCTTTATTTCCCCGACTCACGAAGCCCGCGATCAGAGGAAGGCTCTGACCCACGGCGCTCCCGCGAAGCTCCAGCCCGCACTGGACACCGCGTCCCCGCGGTGCCGCTGTCCGGCGGGCTCGGGGGGCCGGCCGGGCGGGGGCGGCGGGTTCCCCCCTCGGCGGGGCGAGCGCACACCGTCCCTGGCGGCCGCCGCCCGGCACGGGCCGCCGGCGGCGCCTCAGAGGCAGACGCGAGGCCCGGGGTAGGGCTCGCCCCCGCACCAGAAGTCGGCGGCCTGCGGGGTCTCCACCAGCCACACCTCCCGCGGCAGCGCAGGCGGCTCCGCGCCCGCCGGCGGCCCCTCCAGCAGCCGGTAGTAGTGGCAGTCCCGGCCGTGCTGGGGGTCGTAGGGCGGCGCCAGGATGTCGAGAAAGGCGGCAGGCCCGTCCACGGCGTCGATCTGGTGGAGGTTGTCGGTGTGCGGCGAGAGCAGGCAGGGCGGCGAGGCGGGCGTGTAGTGCTGGCGGGAGCGGAAAAGGGCGCGCAGGCACGGCCCGCCGCCAGCGGCGGGGGGCGGCGGGGCGGCGGCCGCCCCGGAGGGCAGCGTGTCCATGCAGGCGATGCGCAGCGTGCCGTACAGCACCTTCAGCATGCCGTTCATGCCCGGGTGGTCGTGCAGCGGGATGCAGGCGCCGCTCCGCAGCAGGAACACGCCCATGCTGAAGCTTTCCGTCTCGCAGATGTGCATGTAGCTGACGGGAGGCACCACGCCGGCCCAAGGCGGACCGTCGCCCGCCGCCGCGGCCGACGGCCCCCGCGGCACCAAGTGCAAGTCCTCGGCGCGCACCTCGTCCAGCAGCTGCTGCAGGCGGTGCAGGTTCTCCCCGAAGGCTGGGCCCGCCGGGCTGCGGAAGGTGATGCGCGCCTGCCGCGCCACCCGCTGGATCAGGGAGGCCATGTTGTCCCGGGGCATGGCGGAACGGCCCGGCCCGGCCGCGGCGGGCGGGGCCCGGCGCCGCTTCCGCCACCGCCCCCCGGCCCGCCGCGCAGCCGCGCCGCCGCCGGGCACCACGGGGCTCGTAGTCCGGGCTGGGGCCCCGCCGGGGAGCGCGGAGGAAGGAGGAGGAGGGCAGCAGAGGTGAGGGGGCGCGAGGGGCCGCGGGGCCGGTCGGCTGCCAGGGCTTGTGGCGGCTGCCATGAGCGCTGAGGGGAGACGGGCGTGAGGGGAGACGGGCGGCGGGAGCGGCCGCTGCCCCGGGGCTGAGGGGTCCCGCGCCCCGAGGCTCTGGCACGGCTGTCCGAGGGGCTGCGCTGGCACCGGGGAAGCCTTGGCAGTAAATTGCCCATGGCACGTGTTTCCTCCCCGCTGGGGGGCTGAGGAAACAAGGAGCAACTTGTTACTTGGCTTGTAGTTAAGCCGTGTAAAACTGAGCAGCGTAGTACAAGTGCGGTGTCATGGGCGTATAGCGACTGCCCACAGACAGTTCATCTTTTATCACTAACTGCTTGACCCTAACCACGCCATTTCGGCGCAAATTTATCAGATTTGCGTTTTGTGGCACTCGTATTTCGGTATTGGGTCGAGATCGTGCTGTACAGCATGTAGTGTCCTTCATGCATCGCCTTACGGTCGCTTTTGAGTGTGCTTGTGTCTGAATTCGTTATCTTTAACCACAGGTGAACACCAACGAGCACACAGAGTTCCAGATGCCGATCCTCAGAGAATCCATGTGTAACAGAATGGATGGATAATCTTTTGGCTCTGCTCCAGCCTGGTGGAGCCTGCATGTGGTTGTTCCAGGCTAATGTACAAAAAGGGTCATGCATTTATTCTGCCAGGTTTTTATTTAATTTATGTATTTGTGGCAGCAGTCCTATTGCCTTCTTTCTAATTGGCATGGCTGTATGTAGCAGATCATATCTAAAAATCCTTTCATTTGAAGTCAGAGGTTAACCTGTTAGTGCTGAGATTTTTTAAACAAGGTTAGGCTCTGGTCACAGAAATATACAGACTTATTCCACCTTGAGTTCAATTACTTGCACATATGTACAGCATTTAAGTACCATGGTAGGTCTAGGTTCTGAGAAACAGCTGAATGATATTACATAATCAAATATGACTCCAGGGGCTGCAGCCTGCCAGGTTAAAAATTGCATTTTAAAACCAGGTAAACCAATGTATTTTCTTGATTAAAGGCAAACTCTAGTTGTAAGATATGCATTAAGCTTAAGTAAGATACACATGGCATTAAAATATTCTTACACCTTATCACAGGATGGTTTGTGTTGGAAGGGACTTTAAAAATCATCTGATTCTTGGAACATAGCGCCATGGGCAAGGATGCCACCTGCTAGATCAGGTTGCTCAGGACCCCCTTAAACCTGGCTTTGAACACTGCCAGGGATGGGGCATCCACAGGATCTCTGGGCAACCTGCTGAAGTGTCTCACCACCCTCATGTGAATGATAAATACTCTACATCAATCAGAAATACAAGTGTTGTGACATGTGATGGCCTAGTAGAGGATGAAATACTGATGCTGTAGACAAAGATGTGTCTTGGATATTTTTTTCCAAAACTATTTCCTGCCCTCTATAAATAAATTTGGTGCACAGAATGCAAATTCAGATCATGGCATAGTTGCATCTCTCTCCACAGAGAAGGATGTTCATTTGACTTGCTGCTTTCAAGTTCCACCTGAAGCTACAAAGGGCTGCAATCTTCAGCTGTTTGTTAAGTGCTAAGTGATTTGTTAAGTGTTGGGAGCACAGGGTGAAGATCAGGCGTGTATTTCTGCACCTGGCAGGAACAGGTCTGTGTGGCAGGATGCTTAGAATGAGGGGGCATTATCCCAAGTGGAGAGGGAGAGTCTTTAAAGGTCTGTGAGCCTTCCTGCATGGGAATGAACTGCTGAGGACGCTCTCATTACTGTTGCATCGGTGGCAGCTGACATTTTGTCAGAAGCAGAAGCTTCATGTCCAGTGTGCTCTTCTATTCAGCCCCCTTCACAGGGGCAGTCAATTTAATTATGAAGATGTGCACTGGAATTTTTGGCAGTACCATTATCAGTGGTAATGATAGATTCTTTATTGGCCACCTATTTGTGTCCTGCCCCAATGATTGCACTTTGCTTGCAAATGAGTGCTAGAATACTCACTTTTGGACACACTGGTTCTTTTTCTATGCAGCACAAAAATCAGATCTGTTGTGGAAACAAATGCTTGGTATTTGTTGTACATTGTGCGCTCGGAGTAACTTGCAGTTGAAGGAAAGATCATCATGGAAAAGCAGGATCCTGAGTCTGAATTCAGCTTGCTCTTGCCTTGCTGAGTGGTATTAGGCGAGTTACTTGACCATTTCACTACTTATCACTCTGTAAACCATGAATCACAAGTTCTACGTACAAGGATGTTTACTAAGAATTTAAGAACATCTTTATGTGGACAATCCTGGTGCCTTATTAAACTAGTGATGAGGTTTATATTTTGTGTAATTGATCGCCTTATAAGCACCAATGTTTTTAACTGCTGTATTGGTTGCCGTTTCTAACAGATACAGGCAAAAATATATTAATATTCCAGTTAAATCCTATATCACACCCACATTTTTTCAGTGCAGTAATATTCAAATAAACCCACAAATCAACCTCAACAGAAAAGCAAACTGTCCAGCTAACTGGCAATTAAATTGATGTGTTTTTCCTTCTGAAAGGCCATATTCTTAGCTGGCCTCTACTATCTTGAGCATATGTGAGAAGAACAATCATGGTGTAGTTGCTTGGCTCGGCTTTGGGACTGAATTGTGTTGGTCATGCAATGACCTAAGTTCAGCTCGGAGGTTTTGTGATACAGCCAGTGAGTGGGAGGTCAGGTTTGGGTTATGGTTTTGGTCTCCTCCTGTGATTGTTTTGTTTCTCTACACACTGAAAGAGAATGAGAAGTGTCACAGCTTTTTTTTTCTGCCCAACCCCACTATTTTCAGTCTCCTCCCCTTCCTACCTGGACTCCAAACTCTGAACAATTTCTTGCTTCTTGTTTTGCTATTACATATTACAGCTCCCTTCAAGTTTGTGAAAAGCTCTGGTTAATTCTTGCTTTCTTTTAGAGGTTGCTCCCCATATCTTCACAATTTCTTTTGAGAAGTTAGAAGTCCTTATAACCATTGGATAAAACCATCTGTAGTGGATGAAAATGTCAGCTGCTTGTGTAGAAAGTCAGTGGTTACCTGTTGCTAAATGTTGTGTCACAACACCAGAATGATTTAAAGAGTCAGAGTTTGGACAGGCAGTACATAGGACAAAACCCAAGAATCTCTGTCAAAGAGCATATTTTTTGCAATATTCCTGCCACTAGATCTTTAAAGGTGTGTTTTGTTTTGTTGTTTGGTTTTAATAGCTGCCACTAATCGAGGAGCTGGATAGGAATGCTAGCCAAACGTGACTCAGATGAGAACAGGACTAAAAAGAGAGAAGACAAACAACATGTCTGTAATATTTGCTAGCTCTCCAGTAAAGGCTTACATAAAAGAAAGTTGGTTATCAATTATTCATCAGAGAATTTATATATCAGTAGAAACACAGGGGAGTGCTAGATATAACTGCACTGAAATCAAAAGGGGAATTAAGTTCATATATATACCAAACATCAAGCAGATCTATGCAACATTAAGGCTTCCACCCACCTTTACCACTTCTTTACTGAGATGCATCCTGCATTCCATTAACTGCTGGAGAGAGTCCAGAGGAGGCCAAGATGATTAGAGGGACAGAGCAACTCTCCTGCAAGGAAAGGCTGTGAGAATTGGGTTTGTTCAGCCTGGACAATGGATGGCTTAGGGGTGACCTAATTGTGGCCTTCCAGTACCTGAAGAGAGGCTACAAGAGGATGGAGATGGACTTTTCACTGAGGCATGTAGTGAGAGGACAAGGGGTAATGGATTCAGTTTGAAAGAGAGCAGATTTAGAGTAGATATTATGAAAAACATGTTTACTGTGGGTGTGTTGAGGCATTACACAGGTTGCCCTGGGAGGTTGCCCTGAGTGGCTGCCCCATACCTGGTGGTGTTCAAGGCCAGGCTGAACTGGGCTCTGAACATCCTCGTGTAGTGCAAGGTGTCTCTGCCCATGGCAGGGGAGTTAGAACTAGATGTGGATGGTCTTTAAGGTCAGCCTCTACCCAGGCCATTCTATGGTTCTGTGAACCACATAATTCACCCCTTGCTGACTCTTCATGTATTGTAGCTCCTCAGTTAAATGCACTGTTTCTATGTAAAGCACATCATTAATGGGTTTTATTGACAGTTTGCAATGGAACAGCCTAGAGCAGGAGTTGGAGTGACTCAGAGTAGGAAAGGCTGTGTGGCATGCAACTCCCTGTGCATGAATTTGCAGGAATAATGAGCCTTATTCTGATCATCTGAGTTCAGCTCTGCCGACTTTGTGCTTTCCACTGCTGCAAATCAGCTCTGTGCTGGTGTCTCTGGTGCTGCCCAGGTTAGCCTGTGGTGGTGGGTGCTGTGAGTTAGCCATGGCCAAACTCCTTCTGAACTCGCTGTCTGTCTAGGGCCGACCCTCGGTGTGAGGAGGAGGGAAGCTGCTCCCTTGCAGGGAAAGCCCTGTGTGTCTGTGCATGTCTGCTTACTCATTATCACTGACCTCAGTGCCATATTTACTTTTACCTGCTGTGTGATAGGTGCAGTAAAAGAGCACTTTTGTGCTAGCTAGGGTGTGATTCCACTCTCTCAGAGCCCGAGAATTGGCAGTAGGTAGCAGTAGGTTGGTCACTAACTCTGGGACCCCCGAGGGTGTGAGCTGTGGGACTGCCACTGCTTGTGCTATGCTAAGTAGTGGTCACACACCAACTCTGGAACAGCTCTAAAGTAATCTGGTTCAGTAGCTTGAAGAGTTACTGCTGTGCCACTGAGTCACACTTGCTCACTCATAGCCTTCCCTCACTGCCAAAAATGCTTCAGCACAGAGTTATCTTGATGTTGTCTTTCTTTCTCACAATCACGAGTGAGGACTGGGTATGGTTGTCAGCAGGTCAAGCCATAGCAACTTAATTGTCTTTGCTTATACATGTAACACATTATTTTAAGAATAATTTTTCAGCAAGAGAGGGAACTACCTAATTTCTTAATGACTTGGGATCAAGCTTATCCCAGTGGAGATCTTTATAGGGCTAATCAACGATGACAGATTTAAGAAGGAAAGAACAGCCAAAGAATATTTTTCAATTTAAAATAAATAATTTTTTTTTTTTTTTCACGGAAAAACTTAGTATTCAGCAGCAAAAGAGGTTAATGGTAAAACTTAGTGGGTAAGGTATTTAGTGGGATGGAAATTTCTTTCAGTGTTTTCAGATGTTTGTAAGGTTTTGGTTCATTCGTAAATCCAATAAAATCATTCTCTGTCCTATAGGTAAATGGTCTGTGTTAGACTCCATGCCTCTGTGGGGAGGAAGGAAATTTTATTCAAGTGTTGAAGCACGTGAAGTGGACTGAGGGAAGCAGAAGGAAAAGGCCAAGACCTGCAGAACTGCTACAGCTACCCATGTATAGCACTGATCTCTCTTTGAGAGAACAACCAGTGTCTGACTACCTCCAAATCAAAGAACATCAAGTAGAAATCATTGTCAATTAGTAGAGAAAAATATCAAGGAAAAAGAGAAGAGATGCTAGCGTGGGTAAAATGGCAGTGATTGAGGTCAGGGGGATGTTCCAGAGAAGCAGCATCAAGAGGTGAGTTGGTGTGGTGCAGGGAATGAGGCAAGGAGGGAACAGGGAAGTTTGATTCCATGACATACAGCTGCAGATGAACAGCTGTTAAAGGGGACATACAAAGGCCTTTGGAAGATCAGTGCAATGTGTAGGCTGGGTTTTGAAGAGCGGATTGAAATGATGATATACAAATTTTAATTTCTTTAAAAATTAAGATAGTAGTGGTGTGTTTGAGGACACAGTGACAAGTCGCAAGTTTGGAAATGACAAATCTTTGTCAGAGCCATAAACCTTTGCTGGTTGTGGTTTAATGCTCAGAATATTTGTGACCACATGCCCTTTTTTGGGGTGGAATAATATACCTGTCAGTAACATGCCACTTCTGCATATGTAGAACTTAGGATGATTGAGGAAAAACCTACAAAGTCGTCAAGGTATAATGGCATGTTAATGCAGATACTAAATATCTTTATTTTATTTTTGCATTTCACAGCATGGTAACAGAAGTGTGGTAGATTTTTCTTGGAAAATTAGAATGAATTCCAGCAGAAACAGATGCAGAAACTCCACTTTTTCCTGAAAACTAGCTTCCACTATTTCTCATAGAAGGATCAGGGCCTGACAAGCCACACATCCTTCTTACTGTTGGTTTGGGGTTTTTTTTAATCTTCAGGAAAACAAAATTCTCCATGTCTCTGTGTTAAAATGATTGGAAATTAAACTTAGGGGGATCTAGCATGTGATTACTTTTTTTAGACAGGATTTTCTTCATAGCTGAATTGGACTGAGTTTTTCCCCCTCACAAAACAGATGGTAAGTGATTCAGTACTTTTAGCAGTGGAAAAATGATTAGTTTTCTTTCCTCGGTAGTTGGTGTGAATGTACTTTTCTTTATCTATTTACATATTACATAAACACATTTTACCAGCATTTCTGTACATAGGTTACAGTCCTGATCCTGCAGAGAGCCTTGCACACAGGAATTGACATGGCTCATATAGAACTATTTGCATGGAACTCATGACAGTGTTGTAACTGTATTTGTATCTTTATGTATGTACTTAAATTTACAACACTGTATGAGGATGCCAACACATTTTAAGTCCACAAAACAATTGTGTAACTTTGAACACTTTGCTTTCTTTTCAGCTAACAAAGTGTCTGATCTCTTCTGCTGTGTTCCTGTAGTAGGCTGTAGGCCCTTGTGGCTTTTGAGTTATGCTATAAGTTTGTCCTCATTTTACAGTGTAAATTCTTCCTGGTGTGCAGGGGGAGTGAGGTCCTCGTTCATGTTACCTTTTGGACTTGTACTGGTGTTACTCCCTTTGGAAAGGATTGCAGTCAACAGCAACAAATATTTGGGAGAACATTAAAAACAAATCACATGAGTACTTGATTTATCAAGGTTATGTGCATCTATATTTGTTGGTGTATGCATAATACTAAAGAGAACATATGTGTAACCCATATATGCTGTGTCAGCATGTGGGGATTTGAGGCTGAAGGCTCTGAACCTGTTACTAGACTTGCACTCTAGGCAAATACTGTATTACAGTATCCAGTCACTCATCCAGTCACCTATACAAGAAGGTGCAAGTAAGGTTGTCCAAGCAGCATGACTGATGTCCTTTCCAAGCAGTTAAGAGCTGTTTTGTAAACTTGCTGTGCTTTTACCCTAGCTTTACCTGGGAATTAAATGAATGCATAGTCTCATACTGCTGCTTTATTGAGATGATAATACTTCATTTAAAACACACTGACTATATTCTTTGTTTACAAACCTGGCTGTACACACTTGGAACACAATTATCTGATTCTCTTCTTGGTTCCTTCTTCATGTAGGTATGCTCTTTTGAGGCACTGGGGGATTGTGCACAGAGGAGCTGGCTAGCCCCTTGCCTTGTTTTCCAGGCTTACCAGAGAGTTAAAACCCACTTATTAGAATTTTTTCTTGAAAAATGTGACAACCTTCTGCTTCCATGTATTCTAATAGGGAAAAAAAGACATATGAATTAGCAACAGAGATACTGTGCTGTGACATGTCAAGTTTTTCCCTTCAATTAAATTATTCAGTGGAAGGGTGTCAGAAGGAGCTCCTTGAAGCTAGCACTATGTATTTGTCATGGATCAGTAGTCAAGCTGGGACGATTCAGTGTGCCTTATGTTTGTGAAATAAGTTACTTTTCCCTTTATGCAACAGGGAATATTTGAGGGAGTTTGCCTCTCAGGCTGTGTGGTCACACAAGGTGGCAGAAAACTGTGTCTGCAGGGCACATAATCCTGTGGGATGGTGCTGCATGGGGTGGTGTGTGCCTCTGGTCTTAGGTCAGACTGCCTGATGGGAGGAGCAAGAGCTTGTTCAGCCACAGCCCTTCATTAACCTCATCATGGTTGTACCTTCATTAACCTCATCATGGTCACAAGTGCTCACATTTCTTATAACTGGGCATTGCTTTATTACATTACCAGAAGAAAATAGAAGCACAAAGCAATGGTTATGTGCTTCCAAACACTGTGTCTGTGGAAGAGCAGAGCAGTGACTCCTAACCCAGCTGTTGTGGGCATGCAGAGCAGTGCAATTAAGATTTCTGTTCCCTCAGGCTGGCTGTGCATGCTCTTGTGCTCGTTGTAATTGAGTGACTGGCAGCAGCATGCTTCTTTCTCAGTGCACTTGCCCTGGTGCCCATGGCACCCAGCTGCCTGTCCCTCGCTGGCCAGGAATTGCACCAGGAGTGTTCCCATGGCTGTGACATGTATAGCAAAGGGGGTCCAGGAAGTTAAACCAGAGTGATCTGTCAGTCAGGAAGAATGAGCAAAATTTGCCCTCAGTGTGGAGGACACTGAAGAAACAACGTTGGACACCAGTTATCTGTTGACTTCTTTGGGTTCCAGGGAGTAAATACTGTGGCAAAAACTTGGCTGAAAGCTTTGGGGACCAGGTAATTGATGCAAGCCCTGGGTTACATAGGACGTAAGCATGGTTTTATAATTATGGGAAGTACTGAGGAGATTTCTTCTGGTTTCAGTTCATAATAGGGAACATTGTGTACAGTTTGTTTGCTTGATTGGTTCATTTTATTATGTGTAAATATACTGTAGAAACAAGTTTGCCTTTTGTTCAGTGGTACTCATCTAGTGTGCTTCTGGTAAATCCAGTGAATTAAGGGGAATAAGTAACATGCTCTGCTCTGTCAGTGAAACAAAGTCCATTTAAAATTAAGGCTATGGGGGATATGGTGAAGCTGCAGAAGAGTTAGAAGGACAGTGAGCAGAACTGGTAGCTTATGCCACGGAACAGAAACCTTCAGTTCACCTGGGCCACAGGCACACTACTCACTGGTGAAGTGAGCTGCTCTCCTTGTATGGTATGAAACTCTGGCTCCACTGATATTAATGAAAATGACGTGGTTTTCACTGGGAAAAATGAGAGCAGAATCTGGCCACTTGTTAATGGCTTTTTGTATTGGAGGCTGAAATAAAGTGGCTGTGTATGCAAATAATTGTGTAAGCGTAAATTCTGAATTACTCCTAAAAGAAGAATTCAGTATTTAATTGTTGGAAATACAAACTGTTTGGCACAAATCTCCTGGTTTGGCTGAGCTATACTTGACCTGTGACAGAGAGAGCAAAGGGGATTTAAAGTCCTGGGATCCCAAGGGGCCAGTGTGTACTGTAACTCAAGTCAGAGTGTTGACTGCTTTGTAATTACAGATGCTTATTTTGTGTACAAAACCAGTTGATTCATTATCTTTTGTTTCCATTATCTCATCTCAATCTTTATGTGTGAATCTGAGCTATTTGAGTTCAAGAGAATGGCATATAACTAGAATTAAAAAAAAGGGGCATGATAACAGGAAGCCGGTTGTTCTGATATAAAGATGTTCTGATGTAACCAAAATGATGGAATTGGTTAAATCTGTCTGCAGAAACTGAAAACTTTGTGAGAAGTCTAAGAAGTTTAAAATAACCTTTCTTCTACTCCATGACCTGCATTTCATTCAGTATTTTGACCCGTGCCTTGGAACAAGGATGGTTTAGCTCTTAGAATATGAGACAATTAGAATCAGCCATGATGCTGTAGCTTAACACTGTCACTCTTCAGCTGTGCTTCAGGAACCAGCTGGACTCCAGGAGCTCTGCTCTTTATGCAGAAGTCATATGGTGAAGATGGTTTGAGCCATCTTCATTTTGTTAAATTCTTAAGCTGTGGTAATCTCACCATAAGTTATCAGCTGTCCTTATGCTTAGAAATGTGGCCATCCCATTTTAAACTGTGGAGAGTAGAAAATGTTTTTCCTGAAGCCAAGATCTATAATTCTTTCAGCTTTCAAAGAGCCTCCAGTATTTGATAAAGTAAGTTTTACTTGCACAAGCTAAATATTGCCACTTTTAAGTACAAGTGTTGATGGTGTGGAGAGATGTGAAATTTTATTGGGCTACAAGTGTGAGCCCAGAGCTGATGGGGTATGTTTGAAAATAGTTCCTGGCAGAAGTTACACTGGCTGAGAATCAGATGCTCACACTCATTCTAGCTGACATCAGTGGAAGATGCACACATGAAGTGAAAGTACTGTGTGGCCTTTAAGCTTCTGTTCCTGTGGTACATGAGGTTTTATAGTACACAGAAGAAAGGAAATATTCACTTTTCAAGGTATTTGTTACAGAATGGGTGTCTGATCTATTTCAGTCTGCTCTGTCTGGGGAATGTCTCCATGACTTTAGTGAAGTGCTGTGCATGCACAACAAGGAAGCTTTTTGCATGGAATGTGTAATGCAGGACTCATTAACTGATGATAGTGGATAATTTTGAAAGAGATGAATACAGCATTTGCTGCTCGCTTGGATCATAGAAATAACTTCAGGGAATATGTTCACCAAATGGAGATGTTCTCTAAAATGCTTGCTAGCAGGTTACTTATGCTTCTGTATGCCAAAAGCAGTAGATTTTTCTCCAAACCAAACACAAAATTAGATTATCTTCTTTTTTAATTGGATGAGGAGTAAATGTGAAAATTGTTTGGGTTATGTGCATGTTATGTAAGGGTCACCAGTGGAAAATAAGGCCCAATGCTTTATATGTTTGTCTAAAGCAAGTGGCATTTCTATTTTGTTTTTCAAGACCCCCGAGGTCTTGCCTGCAACTGTATCAAGAATATAGTCCCTTATTCTCCACCACACAGAAAAATCACTCAGTCAAGTTTCCTGTTGGTGTGTGTCTCCTCCCTTTGGCTGTTTGTTATTTTAGATGCAGCTCTGTGGGACAGGAACTGTTGGTCAGCACACCAGAGCCTGTGGGCGCTGCTGGAATAAAGAGAGCAGCTTTCCTTCCACTCTGCTGCTTCATGTAGCTGAGGGCTGAGCTGGAGGGCTGGTGGTTTGCTTTTCTAGGTGAACCCAGGGAAGCAAATGGATTGCATGAGGAGTCCTGCATCACTCTGGCTGGCTCTGAGTGTGGCTGGATACATCAGAAATTTCAGAGCTTCTCAGTTCTCAGCTGTGTGTCCTACAGCACCAGTCTCCAGGGAACTGAGGTTACTGGATTGGAGGATATGAGTTGCATAAAAAAGTCCCAGGCCCCAGGAGTTTAGGAGTGACAGCAGAATAAATACTTATAACTTGCTTTCATGTTACATGGCATGGGACTTGCTCTTCCTTGCAGATGACTTCTCCAGTGCTGTTTGGATGTGCCTGCTGCTCTGTGATTGCTCCTAAAGCCTTGATTTGACAGCAGCCTCTGGCATGCTGTGGGCCACCAGATCTGCATAGCAACAGACCCGCCAGTCTTCCTGCAGAGAGTTAAAGGAATTTTGGAGAAAATCAGCGAGTCAAAAATTTGCCATTCCCTTCTGTGGCAATTCCCTGGATTCAAAGTGTCCCTCGTCTCTGGCAGAGGTGGGCAGCAGGCTGGGGAGGAAAGCAACACAAGTTTTATTGTCTTTCCAATGCTTGGGGCTGCTGATGTTGGGTGATTTAAGTGCAGGTTTTTGAGAGAAGAGTTGTAGGTGAGGGAGAAGCATCACTGTTAAGTGAACTGGAGGAATAGTACTTTGACCCCTTGGAACATAGAGCAGGCTGAGGAGAAGGAATAAGATTAAAAGAAAGAAAATCCTCTTAATCTGGGTGATGTCAGTTTGTCATTGTCAGTTTGGTAGTTATGTAGCTGCAAGCCTCCTGCTGCTTGCTGTGCAAGGAGCAGATCATTAATTAAAAGACATGGCAGAGTGCAGCATGCTTAGGGCTTTGAGGTGCTGACAAGCTAATACTGCTCAGCTCAACTGCAGAGAGCATGTCCAACATGAGGTACAGTTCTAAGAACTAAAAAACCTGTTACCCAGTGTGTCATCCTTGAAGACATGTAGCATACATGCTGAAACCTAAAACTCTCTGCCTCCCTAGCAGCCTCATATGTATATCCAGCTTCTCCTTAGTGTGAACCACAAGGTGAGAATCTGTGTAACACAGGGGTTCAGAGAGCTTTGGGGTTCCCTAGGCCACCTGCTGTGCAGCAGTCCTGTGCCTTTTGACATAAGAAGCACTGGAGCACCTGGGTAATGATGCTGGGCATGGCAAAGGGTAGGAGCAGGTGTACTGCTGAGGTGTATAAATGCCTGGCAAGACTGAGTGCCTGTTCTGAGATGCAGAGATGTGGGTCAGAGAGCGTGGGACTGAGGTAAGAGAATGTGAGAACACACTCACTATATGGCTGCTAAACAAGGAGCAGGAAAGGATTTAACTGGTTTTGGCTTGAGGGATTAAGCAAGAAGTGATGGATCAGATAGAAAAGAATCTGGTTGGACTGTGGTATGATTTGTACAATATACTCTCAGCTATGCCAGATTAGATTGTAAATGTTCAATAGTGTTTACAAGCCTGATTGTCACTGCCCAGACAATTTTCCTCCTCTCATTTGTCATACACACTTGCACATTTAATACTTTTATTTTGGAAAATACAGCACTTTACTGTCCTGTGAAACAATGCATCTCTTCTGCCATTCTTGTGGAGATGTGATGCAATGATACCACTTCCTCCTGAGGGACTGGTGAATTATTTTGTTGGTGTTCACAAATCTCTTCTTTGGTAATAGTTTCTGCACTGGTCTTAATACAATTTTCAAAAGCAAAATCGTGTCAGGGATTTTTTTTTTTAACCTTTTGTTAAAAAGACAATACTGCCATTATTTGTTGCATACCATACTGAACCCAAGCTCTCAGCATGCTGCTGAAATGCTCTCCCAATGACGTTTGTGCAACTCAAGGTATTGCACCTATCCAGTGAATCCCTCTCCAGTAGTGGGAAGCATGATTTCAACAAGGTGGGAGACAGGGGACACATACTGGTCTCACAGGCTCAGGTGGGTGGTCTGATAATTAAAGTTTGAAGCTCTCCTCTAGATCTTTGCATGGGATTAGAAGCCCTCTGAGCTTCTGAGCAGTTGTGGCTGGGTGTGCAAAGGCTCTTCTACTAGTGGAGAGCCTTTGATATTTTATTGTCTGCCTAGGTGGTGTGACTGATTGTTCATCTCCATCAGCTTTGCACCTCAGGTGATGTAAAGAAGGTGGAAACCTGGAGTAAGTAGGTCCCTCAGAATTGCGTTGTCCTGGGAAGAAGAGATGGAAGAAGAAGGCTGTGAGACTGTAGTGAGGCAAATGTGCAAGGCCTTTGGTATCTTGTGCACTGACAAGGGCCTTTTCCTGAGGAAAAAGGAGTTACTTGTGGTGTGAATATGATCCTGTGAAGGTAAGGGCACTTATTCTTTATTATTGTTTTTATTACTAGGTTTATTCTTGGCCAAACCTGAAGCTTCTTGAATTGTCTTTAAGACAATGCTGATCTTCTGGCACCTGCAGAGTCAGAGAATTGCCCGAGAAGCACCGAAGTGCCTTTGCGCATTTCCTTGTTTGCCGGGCCGGGCGTCCCTCTGCCACACAGATCCCGCCTGTTTCTCAGGCAAGCACAGAGCGTGCTGCAGCCCACTGCTGCCCTCGGAGGGTGTTTCCTTGTTATTTGTACTGCCCCTTGTGCCTTTCTTTTTCTCTCTGATACGTCGCACATTGCCAGCTGGTATTTGTAACGTGTTCCGTAGATTTCTAAAATGAAACTTCTTTGGAGGAGGTCAGCACGCTGTGCGGGACACATCCTGTGTGTGGGCTGCATCTGACAGATTCCTGTCGCTGTTATCCACCAGGCTTGTCAGAAACGACAGCACCTGCCCGTGGACTGCCCTAACACAGCAGTACCAGCCAAAGCAGGAAGTGTTAATAGTATTGTTTGCCCCTGTGTGCTCATATTTGTAGTCTCTTAAATATCTGGATGAATAGTTACATGTTTTGGAATAATGATACCATGCACCATTCAGTTCTGAGCAGTCAATGTACAATTATTGCAATAGGAAACAGCACAGAAGGTTGCCTAAGAGTTTTTCAGTTATCAGTGGCTTTGCTACCCACAGACAGGTAAAGAGGTAACCTGTGTAAAAGTTTTGTCATTCTGGAAATAGTGCCAAAGATCAGATCTTCCTGATCCATTGCTGGGAAGATCTGTTTTCACACTTATGCCTACATGCTAGAGATTTTTCTGTTACATTTCTTTTTTGTGATGGATGAAATCACTTTTTTATATCATTATGTAAGGTCATTTTGTATCCTTCTGCCTGTGTTGCAGCCGTTAGTGCATTTGACATGTTATTAGCACTCTATAGCACTGCCCAATAGGGATTCTCAAAACAGCCATTGCTTCACCCTCTCTCTAAGCTTGTCTGCATTCCAAGCCACTTAATTTTCCATATGGTCCACTTTTAGCCTCCCATTACAAATTATCTGATCTCCTAACTTACAGCCTAATTTTTCATAGTATATTCAGTGTAACTACTGACCACTGAGTTTAGCAGATCCAGGTTGGTGTTACAGCTGTGAGAATTTCCTGGTTGCATGATTTCTGTTTATTTTGTAAGCTTTGCAAGGCTTTTTGGTTCCCTGTTGCCTTGATTTCAAATATGTGACCTTAAAATCAGTTGATTTGAACATGACTTTTATTTTCATTTGCAGTCCCTAGAGGATTGTACTTGCAGAATTACCTTGTAACTGTACTGAATTAAGAGCCAGAGCCCAGCTGAAATTCCCAGACCAAAGGATAGTTTCTAGTAACCTTGGTGCCTTTCTTATGCTTTTTTCTATACAATGCTGTTTTGCCTTGTATATGATCACCGATTTAGAAAATAAGTAGTTCCTTAGTTGCCTATTACAATTTAAGAAAATAGTGTGTCCTCTTCCCACTTGTGTGCACAGTTTTTCCTTCCTTTGGTGTTGTAAATTGATCATCTCTTTCTATTGTTATGGGAAAACATTGAACAGACACCATTTTATAGGCAAAGTAAGAGAAAATCTAACAACCTGGTGCTCTGCCTGTGGGAACTCTCAGTCTGTGTATAGCAAAATTGGCAAATATGAAGTGTAGGCCAACAGCTAAGGAGAAGAAAGAAAGAGTTACAGATGCTAAATCAAGACAGGATGAGGCAAGAGGAAGGACAGGGGATGCTTGGCAAGAGAGCCCCAATGATATGGGTCATCTTTACTCCCATTGAATTTGAGTGTTATCCCAAATTTATTGAGATAGGACATCCAGAGCCTTCTCGGGAGGGGCGATCTTAGCCCAGAGAGCAGCATGGGATAAGGCTCAGAGCACATAAGAGAAAAGGAGGCACACAAGGACAAAAGGAGTGAGAAAAGCAGAGTGAGTGAGTAGGGAGGAAGAAAAGCAGAGGAGTTGGGAGCAGGCTAAGATAGGACTTTGGAAAGGCAAACTGGGACCTTGAGGACAAGAACTTGAATTTGACCTGAAAATAGAGAGGATGACAGGATTTCTACTCTATCTTAGGTCTGCATTTGGAATGTCAAGCTTTGTGTTGCCTCTGGAGTCCTTGGTCTTGCTCAGTCTCATTAGAGTAGGGGTGGGCAAGTCATGTTTGAATGAGTTTCCATCCTTGGGCACCTGCACCAGTCATGCCTGGTAAATGTTACTGGTGGAACTAACAATAGCATTTTGGAAAGCAGCACTGATACTATAGTCACGTTTTCCCCAGCTAAGCACACTGGCTGTGTGGAGAGCTGTGTTTGATGGCACCTGGGGCAGCAGAAGGGCACACAGGTTATTCTGCTACTTGCATGTCTACTGGAGAAGGTGGAGGTGTCCCTGTGCCATACTGGTAATACAACAAAACTGCAGTGGAAGCTCTGATTAAAAGATGAAGTGTGATGCTATAAATAAGGTAACTTACTGACTGAATCAAAACTAATAATGAGATGAACAATTAGCTTATCTTTCACCTTTCTAGATACTTTAAGAGCTAAAGATTTAGAATTAATCTAGAAGAAGCTGGAGAATTAATTTGCAGCTGCTTAAGGCTTCTTGATTGATTTATGGTACTTTTCTGGAGGAAGAGACTCTTACTTGAAATTAGCTTAATCCTAACTTTATTATTGTTACTGGTCAAATTAATTGCTGTCTTTGTCAGAGACCATAAACCCTCAAAATCTGATAATATTTACTTAGGTGTTTTTATTTCTTGAAAGGTGAAGATGTGTAAAAAAGAGAAAAGGAACTTGATGGCAGTTTGCTAGAATCTTAGTAATATACATGAATCTGTAGAACATAATCTGAAATCTTATGCCTTTTGAGGTTTGCACTTGTTCCTCTTGTGTTTCATCTCCTTTTCCAATTGTGATTTCAAAAACTTCAGAGCAGCCACAACAGAGCATTTCTCCTGTTCCCACCTGTGCTCTGTGATGTGAAAAAATAATGTTAGTACACAGAGATCTTGACTTCCTCTTGAATGCATCTGGATGATTTTGTTATGCAGTCCACTGTGCCTGGGATCTGTCTGAGAGCAGCTGGTGATGAGCATTGCCAAGATATTGGACTGGGCTGCTGATAATTTTGTGTATTTCAGAAAACTTGAAAAACTAGCTTCATGAAACAAAACTTGTATACCACAGCCTCACCATGAAGACGTTAGGGTGGCCATGGCTGTACAAAGTATCTTAACCAGCAATCTTTCACCCTTCCACAAATCTTTTCTTTTTGAAGGTAAGTGTGGGTGGTCTTCCTTTGTCCAATTTCTGTAAATTTGGTACATCACTTTCTAGTTATGCAGCTGATTCTTGTGTTTATGTGAATGGCTGTTTTAAAAAAGGAAAGATCAGATGTTTGTTGTTTCATTTCAACATAAATCAAACTTTGTACTCACATAGCAATTCTAGTTTAGTCCTAGGAATAGCTTTAGTATTGCTAAGTGTCTGGAGAGTATTGACTACAGAGACATGATTTTAAGCAGGCTATAATAGTTTCTACAGCTGTTAACAGTTCTCAGAAGAAAGGCAGTATTATTCATCGGTATTTAAAATGTGCATGACTTGCATTGCACAGAAGTCAGATTGGGAGAATGTCAGAATTTTTTTCTGAAATTCTGCCAGGAAAGTCTTCAATAACTGGAGAAATTCTTTTCACTGGTGAAATCAACATGCAGCACATTGTGTTATTATACTTGCTTATAGCTCACCATGAAAGTTGTCTTTGTATGCGTGGATGTACGGCTTGTACTGTTTTGTTTTTATTTATTCTGCATTCTTTATTATAATGTTCTTTCCTTTTTTCCAGACCAGAAAGATTGTTATTGAGCCTTCCACAAAGCTGAAATAATGCTGTGTGTTAAAAAAATGTTAACAATTTGAAGAAGTTATAAAAATTTATAAGTTGACTGAATACTTTGGAAATTTCTGCATATTTTAATATAAATAGGTAATGCAAATGTTTGTTCTTTGCATTTAGAGGTGGGTCTCTGTTTTGTAAAGGTCTTGTATATAAATTTGATTCTTACAATTACATTAGAACAAAACCAGTATTTTTTTCAGATTGTATAATAGGAAAAATGTATTTGCTAAAGACACAGAACATACATGGTTATCTCTGAATGTCCTATAGTAATGAAATTCAACATAAATAGCATCAGTTGTTTGAATTACTTCATTAAGTGCATTTAGGGGACTGCCTCTTGCAGTCAGCTGAGGTCCTTCCATTCAGTTCTGTGTGTCCTGGGTTAGCCCACAAAGAGATTCTGCAGTTAATGGTGAGAGAAAAGGACATGATTTCTCTATAGGTAATGAGAAGGTTCAGATTGTGCTTGTGGAACTCACATAGAAATTCAGTCATATGAAACCTAAGAAATCACAGAAAATTGTGTTACTCAGATTAATTTGGTGTTAGTGATGAGTTTAAGATTTATTCATAGCTAAAATTATAATAACAGGACAAGTGAGTCTAAATGGAAGAGTAGAAATAGGTAAAAGGGAAGAGGTGACTGATAAGGACCTAAATTATGACAATTTTAATGACTAGTCCAAAAAATATAACCGTTCAAATGTTATGATCCACTGGAGGTACTGGCTGGGTAAATGTCTGAAAAGACAGGCTTCAGGCTGTTTTTTGGGAGGTTGGAGGAAGGCATAGTAAGTTTTGGGTCGTTGTACAGAGTAGAAAAGATTTGTTAGGTTTGCCTGTAGTAGAAAGAATGTCTGATACTCCAAGGCAATTTCTGCACAAGTGATGGTGGTAGGAGCTAGGAGTGGACCTGGAGAGCTGCATCTCTGCTGAGGTCCCCTGGCCTGCACACCGTGTGTGGCCTGTGTGCTTTGCCTGTGCTGCTGGGGATATCTCTTCCAGCTTTGTTCTGTCTGAAAGGAGTCTGGTCTGTGCATAGGGGCTGCACAGTGAGTGGGGCATTTTGGCTTCAGAGGCACACTGCTACTCCAAACTTGAACACTGGTGTAATGGGAGGGAGCAGAGGGAGTACTCCAAATGCACTGTTTCATATTACAGGTGCTGGCAGCATGTGGAGTTGAGAGCAGTGAAAGTCCAAAGGACTAGGGCACCAGAGGAGGTCACCAGGAGCTGTCATCCCTTATAAGCCCTGCAGGAAAGAGAAAGGAGAATGATTCATTGGTAGATGCAAGCCTCTGTAGGTAAAGTTGGTGCATATCTGAGGTCTACTGTGATTTAGTATTTCAGGATGGATTGCCTTCTGACATATTGCTGGCAAAATTTTTATAGGGCTAGAAGCACTTTGTAGCATCAGCTCCATTAGGTGTGCAAAACTAATGCACAACAGTCCCAGGCTTTTGATTGTGCAGTTTTTATAGATCTTTTTTTCAAGACATCCTGGAACATGCTTTGCTGAGTTGGAAGGCATCCATGGTCATTGACACCAGTGCTATGAAATAACATTGCTGCTAGCTGGCAGTTTACTCTGTAGAAAGATGCTTATAATTTTCAAAGACTGCTTTTCAAATGGAATCACTATGGTAAATGAGCCCTTAAATCTTACACTCACAAAACGGAATTCAGTTCAAGAGAGTGTTGATTCTTCAGTCTTTTGTGAGTCACTTCCACTGTAACATTCTCTGGAATCATTCATTTTTGGGTGTTTAAGATGACTGATTGGTAATGTGGAGTTAGATTCAGAGGTATTTCCATGTTCCCTGTCAATGTGCCACTTCATACCATATTCTCACAGAGACTGTTATATAAAAGTACCATTTTACAGAGCGGGGGCACAGAGAGAATAAATGATGGAGATAAGTCTGTGTAAGGAAATATGTTGCAGAACTGCTGATCCTAGATTTCCTCATGTTACAATATTTAGCCTTTGGACCAGCTCTCTTGTTCTGCAGCACGGGTTCATCCCCTTTGTGCTGCAGCTCTTGGTCACCCCATCCAGCATGGACCAAAAGGCTGCACAGCATTCAGTTGAGTCTGGAAGCTGATAGGATTCTTGGCTTTAGTGACAGTATTATGTCAAATAATGTGATGGTTAGCTGAGACAAATGTATTTAGCGCCTAAGTATAGTGTGTTTCTGTATGCCAGTACTTTGGAAACAAGGGAAAAAAATGTATGGTGAGCTTGTCAAGAGCTGTTCTTGCTACAAGCACTGAGCACAGCGCTGCCTTTTTGCTAAAATGATTTGTTGGTAAGATTTTGGCTTGTGAGAGGCGATGAAATGCACCGGCACAACACAGGCATCATTACTAGATCTTATCAGCAGCTGTGAATACACATTTTAACAATGTTAAGATTTTCCAGGCCTCTTTCAAAATGGCTGTGATGCTTCCCTAAATGTGCCTGTTATCTGTCCAAGAGCAGTTGACTTTAATTGCTTCTGGGCAATATTTCCTTGGAACCTCTCAGATAACTAGAGTCAATCCGGAGAAGTCTGAATGGATCTCTACTTAGAAACTGGCCATATTCAATATGGAAAGTGTGTAGACTTTTTTTCCCTTGGGGAAAGGCTGAAGAGGGCAATAGGTGCAGGATGTGGAGGGAAGAAGCAGTGCCCTGACCCTACAGCATTTCTGCATGTTGAGTCAGGGAGTGACATTTGAACAATTCTCACTGCACCCAGTATGAAAAACTATGGTGCAGATCAAATTGCTGGCTGTGCTCTGAGAGAGATGAAGAGGAAAAAGACCAAGGCATCTGTTGATAGGTAGCCTTTTTTATGTTTTAGGTGTTGGAAGAAGCTAAATGGTCTAGAGAGTATTTTTAATTTTTTTTTCTTTTCTGTCTTTGAGGTAATGAATGGCTCCGGACTTTCCATCTTTAGAGCTGGTGGTTTCCTCACCACAGTGATTCAGCCAGCATGAACTCTTGACCAAATCCCAGTTTGTTTCCTGGTTTTGTTTTTCTAAAATATTTTACATTTAGCAGGGCATAAAGGCCTCCCTACATTGTGACAGAGTAAGGAGAACCACAGTCCTTCTACTGGCTAGCTCTCAAAGGACAGCTCACTGTTCTTCTGAAAAACTTGCAACTGAAGCAGTTTAAAGGAATCACTGAATTTTGACTGAAACTCAGACTGAATTCTTACATGCTCCTGGCTTTTTGGTGCTGTGTTTTTATGTGGAATTTCCTTTGAGGGTTTATAAGGTCTGATTTTTGAGAAATATGATCTGCCTGAAATGCTCTAAGTTTAATCAGTGTGTTATTGCATGGGAAAGTAATGTACATTTGTCTACTTGCAAGATGAATAGATTAGTATTGCCAATGATTTTGGGACATAGTAGGTTGTTAAAATAACATGGAGGACCCTGTTCCTTTGCCTTCCTAGATGTGTTTTGGTAATTGAATTCTCTGGGTGCCCTGTTTAGGGAATATGCTGGTCGTTATCCCTGTTACCTTATAAGTGGTAGGCTCAATAAGGACTTAGAATAGCTTGGCTGTGGAGTTTTAAACACCAAGAGAGATAATAGACATGAAGTCTCTAGCCTGGGAAAGCTACAAATGAAATAAATACCCTGAAAATTCAAACTTCTATGTATTTACTGACTTTCAGACTTTCATGCTTTGCAAAATCTCAGGCATTTCACTGAAGGAAATATTTCCAGGCTGCTTTTGAGAAAGCTGGTGTTTGCTTCAGGTGACAGAGAATATTACTAAATTGACTTATTGAAAAGGATCCTTCAGGGTACAGTGCTGTCACTGTATTAGAGTGGTATGGCCACAGGTGGGACTTAGGTGACACCTGAGCCAGCACAGGCAGCTGTTCAAGCAGTGCATTGTCCCAGATTAGTCAAGGCATAAATGCTCTGCTCCATTACAGCCTCACTGCCTCTCCAAGGGAAAGAGCCCAGGCCTTGTGTGATTCCAGCTGGTCATCCTAGCCTGCTGAGGACCAAATCCCCATCCTGGTGAAGCTGTGACCATACCAGCTTCTTTCTCTTGGCTCCTGGCAAAGGCATTTGGCTGTGTGTAAAAGCATCTTCCAGCCAAGAAAGTGTGAATAATCTTGCCCAGCTTCTTGGCATTTCTTGGCATGGAGTTAACCTTATGACTCTGAAAGAGGTTTCAAAGGACATGCATTAACCCAGGGATCCAGTGCTTCTGGGGGTAAGTGAGGGATGAATGATCAGAGCATGGTTAGGTTGGTTGAGAGGGAGGAAAGGGGTAGGAGACAATACCCTTGCACGAGGATGAGTTACTGCTCCCCCAGAGGGTCAGGGGTGAGTAGATAAAGAAATGAGGACCTCCATATGTGGAACTGCAATGGGGAAGGGAGAAGCTAGGGGCCAGGTATGGAAGTCTGCCATGAAGCTGGGACAGATCCAGGGGTTTAAAATGATATTGAAAGAGATGGCTGGAGGGGGCCTTGGGGTCAGTGGTTGAAAGAAGGGCACCATGCACTCTCAGAACTACAACACAATATATACTATTCAGTACCCACTTGCCCCTACAAGCAAGAGAGAGATTCCTATATGGGTCTGCAGTTTTGAAAGCATCTATTTATTTTGTATACCTCCATGATTAGGAGGCAAATTTAGGGCTTATCTACTTGGGGAAATCCCTGTAAAATAGGTTGAGTGTGAATTTACAGCCTACTTAAGACCCAGAATAAATGCAGTGTAAATTCACACTTCAGCTTACTTCACAGGAGCTCCCCCGCAGAAACAAACCCTCAGAGTCACCTCTGTACCTCAGTCTGGTGCTAAAAGTGAGTGGAAGCTTTTCAAAATGTGGGCCTCCAGTTCCATTTTTATAGCTGGGTTTTTCTGTCTCCTGGGGCTTTTTGCAGCTGCTGTAAATCACTGTTGCTTTGCTGAGGTTGGAGAAGCTGGGCCAGTTTGCACTGCTCAGGATCTGACCCTTTGCCTCAAGTAACCTTTTATTATCAAATGGCCAGAGGGTATTTTCCTTTTTACTGGCTTCATTATTAAGCTTGTTCATTCACTCCCACCACTACCGATGTCTT